TAGATAGGTCTTAGTCATCAGGTCTACTCCACTTCCTTGTTGCCTGCTTAGACTCTTGGCCCTCTTAGGTGAGCAGACTTAGTCAGCCTGTGTTGCCCTAACACTCCCCAAACTTCATTGCACATTCTATTCACCCAATTTTCCCCATGGACTTCAAGCAAGCAACATTCCTTGTGGCCCCACCTGAATTCCCTATGACTGACAGTGACAAGCTGGCCTACCAAATTCAACAGCTTGAGCACCAAAACACCAACTTATCTGATCTCCAGGAGAAGGTTCACCAGGCTTGATTACACATGGCTGACTGATATAAGGTGGACAACAAGCACATCCTTGCTGATTAGGACTTCAAGCCAGGCACACTAGTTTTCATCTGCAATACTCAAATTGAGAAGGAACTTGACCAAGCCCCAATTTCTTGGACCTATGGTCATTGTTACACATACTGTGAGAGGCAGTTATGCAATTGCCAATTTGGATGGAGCCATCCTCAAAGCCCAGATTGCACAGTTCTGCATTTATCCCTACCACCAATGATCCAAGTGCACCCCCACCCTCACCAACATTTTGCAGCAGACATCTGCCAATATCCTCCAGTTGCACAACATCTACATGTGGGCCATCAAGCAGGAACTTGATGCTCTCCCCCCCTCCCTTGCCTTTAAGAAGTTCTTCAGCAAGCCTGAAGACTTCTGGGGCTTCTCCATTGACCAGGAGATGCATGATCTCACAGAGATCATGCCCTTTATGCATACTCAAGCCAAGGTCCACACAATTACAGGCCTCTTTTGATACATTCGAGCAAGTCTCAAGCAAGGGCATTGGGACTTGCCCAACATCCTCCCCTCCATCAAGAACCTTGTCAGTGTTCTTGACATGCCAGATCTTCCTGAAGGCATCAGGACACAAATCATAACAGATAGCAATCCTTCACCCAACCCTTCATCAAGATGTAGTTGAGTCCAATCCAATGGCAATCATGCCTTAGAAGGATGAAAATCTCATGCTCACCTGGGTCAAGGAAGAGTGCAAGAAGCTCTACAAAATCTACATTGCTAAGGGACTACCAAAGTTCAATATCAAAGTCAATTATGTTGAACCCAATGCAAAGTTGAAGACTCAAGCTCATCAAGGCTCCCATTGATCCAACCCAAAAGGTGTCCGAAATACTGGTCCAATGGGTGGTGTGCAAGAACTTGCTAGGGAAAGAGGGGATAGAAGGGGAAAGTCAGTAAAACACTTGGAGTCAGCCTGTAGCTGAGCTATCAAAAGTTGGTATGCAATAATTGGAGCTCAATGTCCATCCAGTCAAATCACACTAAGTCAATGTCAGGAGTCACCTCATTTTGGTCTAGATCAAAGTGATATTGATGCTATTGACAAGCATCTCAATGCTAAGGACAAGCATCTTGAGGATAGCAGCAAGCATTGCAAGGCCATATCAGTACAAGCAGACAAGATTGGGCATATCATATGGCTGCTCAAGGCACATTATGATATCAAAGAGTATTGCAAATATTGATTGGCAACCATACCAGGGTGCACTCCTATCTTGACCACCTTCTGTGGTATTGCATGCAATCTCATGTCAGGGACCACTTATTGGGATTGCTCAGCAACTTGGAGAAGTCACAATATCAGGGTTCAGCAATATCAAAGACCAAGAAGGCATTGAGAAGCAAGTTCTCACAATATCGGCTCATTGGTAATATTGAGATGGTATACCCATCTCGGCATCAAGTCCACACAGGCTTGCCCTGAGGTAACCTCTCCTGTACAGATTATCAGCCACAATCTTGAACTGCTTCTGACCCTTTTGTACATAGAGTCACCCATTATTGTGATGTACTCCTTAGATTTGATCTCTCAGGAATTCCACTGTCTAGTCAATATTCTGGTCTTATGACTGATTTCCCTTGAGAAGCCAAGTGTGCTTCAATAGTGTGACCCTCTTTTCAATATCAACATTGAGAGAGCATCCTCCACTCACAATTACCTCAATTTACTTGTTGTACCTCTCTGAGCAGCTGATTGCTTGACTGATATGCTGAGTCCTCCTCTTGGACAACTTGAGCTCTGGTTGATAGCCCTATCTTGGGATGATATTGGACCTTTGGCCCAGCCAAACAGCTGATTCCCCTTGATATGGACAAGCCCCTCAGTATTGCATTCTTGCTTGCTATGTGCCACCTTTCTTGATGCTCAGAACTCTACTATATGGACAGCCAATATGCACAATAGGACAAAGCCTAGTCAGCATCCCCTGTCAGTTGGTGTCAACCCCCACCAATATCCACAACTCCCTGAACCGATGCTCCAAGAGTCATGACAATATTGGCAGCTGTCTCATGACACCTCACAATATCTTGATTCAAGAGTCTTGCACCCCTCTTCACTTCACAAAACCCCTTCTCAATGGCAAGTCAACAGCTCACAGATCCAGTTTATGGCCAGTGGTCATATTGATTGATTACTGATGCCCTCGATTCTGTCTCAATCCTACTCCCCTTCCCCATCATGGCTGAGGACTCTATGATATTGTTTGAGAACACATGAGACACTTGATAGCATGCAAGATGCTTAGTACTCCTGGATATCAACATGGTCCAATAATATCAACCATCCCCTTGCTATTCCCCTTCACTACACCTGGTGTCATGATAACCCAAACTGAGCTCCAGCATGCTCAATATTGGGTTGTTTAGGCATCAGGGCTATACCAAGATTGGAGCTTCACCCTTGATACAAGATCTTGAGCATGCTAGATGGTGTGCCCTGACAGTCAAGTTGAGAACGCTAAGTCAAGTTGAGTCTGCCAATATACAAATAATCAGATCTGTATGATGCTAATGGAAAGGGGCAGAATAATCTAAGTACAGGAGTTTCTGGAAGCTACTTGTACTATCCATTCTAGGCTATACTCTATACCAATCTCATATCTGGATACCTCACCAAGGCAGAGGTTGGCATGCTGAAAATATGTGTGGGTCAATCCTGTTGCAGAAGAAACCTGCAGTCATCATGCTGAATATCTGGGTGGTCCTGTCACATGGGAAACCTAGGAGTCATCATGCCGAATATCCGGAGAGTTGAGACTTGTTGCTGGGATTTGTTGTCCTGCATTGTGAGGGTCCATAGTGCCATGCAACAGTCTCTAAGGCCCCAAAATAACCATGAGAAAGTCAACCTGACACACCCCCCCAGAGGTGGGGTTGTTCATCACTCCCAAACCTTGAATACTGACTCCCTGAGTCAGTGGAGCCCTGGGTGATGGAATGCACATACAGGAACAGGGTACAGTACTGCCAAATATTCAGTTAAGTGAGAGCAGTGTTATCAAGAACCAATCATGAGACTCCCCACAGTAAGACATCAGGCTGCATATCAGGATGCTGGTCAAATGGTGGCATTGAATATTCAGTGAGGAGGTGTATCAGAGGGCATTGCTGTGCATTTGGCGCTAAATGTGGCTGGTTGGCACGTGAAGACCCTAAGCAGTGGCTTGCAGCACTGCTGAGTGCACAAGAGGGACCCTGACCATGTTTTCAACATTGAGTTGTGTGGTGCCTGAGACCCTGATCAGCTGATTTGTTGCTTTGCAAAACCCAGTGTGGTGTTTACCTGCACCGCCTAAACTGAAACCTTGTTCCAGATTTCAGCACTTAGCAGAGTGCCTGCACATTTTTGTTTTCCATCTAGGGCAGGTCATGCCTATAAAGGGAACTGAATTTTGCCTTTCTTGTCCATCCAGATCTCAACTGTACTCCTGCCTTGACTTAATTGTAACCCTGCTTTTGACATGGCCAAACCTGCAACTTGCAAGTCCACACTGAAGCCGCTGCCACCAAAAGACAAACACACCACCATGCTCAAGACTGCTGCCCTGATTGTGGCACATATGTGCAAAGATGCTGAGGATCCCAGATTTTCACCTTGGGTGAAGTATTCGGACTTCGAGGGGTTCACCAATGCTGTTATGCTGTTGGTCAACAGTGAGAAGGCTGAGCTCATCTGCAACCTGCTGGAGAAGTGGGTCAGTATTTTTGCCAATGACCAGCAAGCAGAGCTGGCTGCCTTGTCTGCACTGCCCAATGATGAGTCAGATGAGGAGAAGGAGTTTGCAGCAATGTTGTCCAGACTTTTGGTACATGTTTCCTTTCTTGTGAATTGTTTTCATTTGCTAACCCAACTTTCACAGATGTCCCTAGCTGCCATGGCCAGCCCCATTAGGAAGGCAGAAAAGGACAAGGCCAAGGCCAAGGAGATGATGCCAGCAAAAGTGGGTGTGCCACATGCCAATGGCAGCATGCTTGTTATGCTGCCTGTGACCAGAGCAGGTGGGAGGCCAACCAAGGAGGACTCCAAGAATGTGGTAAGTCATCTGCTTTTCCTCTCTTCTCTGTTGTTCAAGTATACTGACAATATTTTGCAGGGTTGGATATCGGAGGAGATGCTGGCAACAAAGGATGAGGCAGTGGTGGAGGAGTTTTTGCTGGAAAACTGTGTAAGTCATTCTCCATTTTCTGTGCTCTTTTCAGGTTGCTGATGCATTTTTGGGCAGTGTTCATTATGCCACAAGCACATGGTGTTCAAGGATGGGGTGCTGCACCTGAGTGCAATATCATGGAGCAAGCTGGCAGGGCAGTCTGTTTGGCTTGCAAGGCTGCCAAGAAGCCTTGCACTGCTCATATAGGTACACTGCTTTTTCCCTCCCACTTTCATTGAGTTTGACTAACCTCCTTTCCAGTGCATATTGAGAAAGCAGCAGCTCTGCCTGCAGCACTGGTGGGAGAGAAGCTCTTCCTGTCAGAGTCACCCAAACCCACCAAGAAGCCCATTGCCTTGCCCACCAGCAAGAAAATGCAGAAGCTGAGGTGCATCTATCCTGCCACCAAGCCCAAAAAATGTCAGCAGGAGGACAACAAGGATAAGGCTGGGCATTCTCAAAAGTGGTCCCACCTTCCAGAGGCAGGTAAGTCTCTTCTTCCCTCTGCAGTTTTTATTTGGATGTTGCTAACTGATCTTGCAGAAATTGAGCTGCGAGTTGTGCCACTCCATATGCCAGAGCATAAGATGCTTGAGATGAGGAAGAGTCTGCAAGTGGCTCAAAAAGCGGTGGCAGATGTAACAGCCTGGGCTGATCAGATTCAGACTCTCCTGGGGAGGGCTCTGAAGGAGTAGAGACATTTTCCTTCTTGTTTTCTTTTTCTTTTTCTTTTCATAATTTGTTGCATAGTCATAGTTGTAGTATATTTGTGTTGTCATATGGTCATAGATCTGAATTTCACCTTAAGTGAAAAGAGGCCTGTAATTGTGTGGACCTTGGCTTCAGTATGCAGCCAGACAAAGTGTGCATATATAAAGGGCATGATCTCTGTGAGATCATGCATTTCCTGGTCAATGGAGAAGCCCCAGAAGTCTTCAGGCTTGCTGAAGAACTTCTTAAGGGCAAGGGAGGGGGGGAGAGCATTGAGTTCCTGCTTGACAGCCCACATGTAGATGTTGTGCAACTCCATGAGCATCTTGATCCACCAGGGATTGATGCTGCCTGGCCAGCCCCACTCTCACATTTTGTCCTGGGGATTGTATCTTGCTGGGCTGTACTTTCCCAGATCTTCACTGGCTTTTACACCTGGATGAAGATCTTGCTTGGGGATGAGGGGGGAGAAGTTGGAGAGGGGAAGGGGGATCCATTGGATTGCAGCACTTGTAGGCTTGGGAGCAGCCTTCACAGTAGGGGAGATGGGGCAGGTTGGGGTCATATGCCTGAGTGTAGACAGTGCCATCAAGGTTGCTATGCACCCAGAGACACTGTGCATGGTCTCCAGGGCTGTACACAACCTTGCCTTCACCCATTCCCTCAAGCAAAGCATTGAAATACTTGAGGGACCTCCACCTCTTCTTCCTCTGCAGATCAGTCATCATGTCCTACTTGCCATAGGGATTGCAGTAGAAACACATGTTCTCCATGGAGAATGCAGAGGAGAGCTTGGGGTTGAGAGGACAATACAAGAGGCTGGGCTGCTCTTTATAGTGCCGGCTGATGTCCTTGGCAAATTGGTTGTAGAGCATGAGGTGCTCTAGACTGGAGAAACTCTGTTTTACTATAGGTAGTTAGTAAATTAGATAGCTAAAGATATATAAAAAGATGTACCTAGAGCACTAGGCCCTCCCCTGGTACTGCTAGCCTTCTGCAGGCCAGCACCTTTAAAGCAATCATCTTCGAATCCAGGATCTCCCTGAGGGGAATCCTGGAATCCTGCAAGAGCACTTGCAAAAACCATCTATGAAAGGTAAGTGAGTAACCAATGCATTAGAATACTTATGCACCTTTCAGAAATTGGTCTCAGGTAGGGGGGAATGTCTTCATGCACTTCTGCACTCATCTTGAAGCCTTCCACAGTTGCTGTCCTCTAAATGGAGGATGGGGAGAGGGAGGAATCAGTCTCAGACTTGGGCTTGGTTTTGTCTTGAAGGTTGCATGCTGCCCAGGCTTGCCTCAGTTGCCATCCTCCAAATGGAGGTCAGCAACAGGGAAGAAAGGGGGGAGGAGGGGGGTTGCTTGAGGGGACATATCACAGGGAACAGGGGATGGGAGTGGTGGTGGTGGTGGGAGAGGAGAGAGGAGAGGAGAGGAAAGGAGAGGAGAGGAGAGGAGAGGAGAGGAGAGGACAGTTGTGGAGGGAGCAGACAGTTGTGGAGGGAGCGGACTTAGACATTTGGCCTTAGGGCCTCAACGTGGCATTGTCAGTCCCTGAACGGAGGCTAAATTTAAGCCCGTCAGTGGCGGATGCAAAAGTACTTAAATAAACGCTATTCTAAGAAAAAGCGCTTGGCGCACTGCTTTTTCAGTGCGCTGGGCGCGGGATACAGGACCTTATTAATTCCGCGTCCAGTGCGAAGTCAACATCAATGGCGCAACTGCTGTCTTTACAGACTTCTTATCTCCTGCGTTCTTTACGCAGCCATTCGCCGTGTGATTTTCCGGTGACTCCCCATCCCGGCCCGACTCTTTGGCACTACCCCGGCGGTATGCAAGCTCACCATTCCTCCGGTACCAACACGACCTTCACACGAACTCAAATGCGAAGATTTACTCAAGGTACCCGCACCAGCAGTGGGCCATTGTATTATTCGAAAGCCAAAGGACATCGATGAGGGTTTGGAAGGAACTCGGAACTCACGCCCCCGGGGAGAAGGATTCAACTCTGCCGGCCGCCTACCACCTAAAGTCGTGGACCCTCTGCTCGGACGTATCAGCGCAAGAGCTAGGAAGACGCGCTGGTCTCGTGCTACGTGGTCTGGACGGCTACATGGAACCAGGGGAATTAGTACGAGACTACTGGGAGCCGGCCCGTGCAGACCTCCCTCCCGATGCGACCATTCTCTCGGGTTCAAGTGAGTCGAACGTGGTGATATGGATTCAGATGTTCCGAATGCCCGATTTGTGGGCGATGTGGAAGGTCATGCTGCGAGACAGTGTGTTCGAACCGACAACAGAAGGCGAGATCGCGGTGGGCGGAATCAAGATCGACCTTGCGATTCGGCGCAGAGACCTGCTGCCGCCCGTGGCACACGATAACGTGAACCTGAACCTGAACCTGAACCCCCTTATTCTTGATATGTATGAAGCAAAAACCGTGGCGGCCTTCAAAACTATCATGAGGAGCCTGCCCTGGCCCAACTTCAGCCCCTCCACCATGGGCACGGTCCAAATTTAATTCGAGTGGCCCATCTGCAAACGGCAGGGCGAGGATAAGCGATACTACTACATTGGACTGGGTGGCGAACCGGTGACAGATACATCCGACTTCTGGAAAAGTCTCGTTCAGGTACGCAGCCATCGCTGGCCAACTGTCTGCGCCCCAGGCCGATGCGCGATGCATGGATTAGGCACATACCTACATGTCAACGACGGATGTCGACCAGGTCGGATTGGTTTCTCCCAATCATCACGTTCCCATCGTGCGTTTGGCGCAGAACAAAATCGTGATTGGTGTGGATCCCAAAAACAGACCGTCTCTCCTCCATGTGAGTGCCTCGCTCCGCGGCACCCTCCACAGAGTCTGATTGGCTGTCGTTGTAGGGTACGCCGTCCCCGACCCAATCTATGTGGGGCGAAAGTTGTTTCCGACTATTTCGGCATCGCTCCGGTGCGCTGCAAGAGGTGTGGGAGTCGATAGGACCCGACTTGCGGCAGTTGATTGAGGAACACTTCTCCGACCTGGCCGAAAAATACCCTCCCACGGCGTACGGGACCCCTTCCTCCCATCAGCCAAGCAAGGTCCTTAGTCCGAAGACCGCGAATTCAGGCACCGCAATGTCTCCGAAGCGGCCGAAAAGCAGCAGGGCCGGGCGTTCGCACTCTACCCCGCCCGATTTCAAGGCCCCGTTCTCCACTTCCGCTAAGGGCGAACACGAGACGATTCCAGTGTCTCGGAAACTTCCTTTGACAACCATCTGGGCAGCTGGGGACGAAGAACAGCATGGATCGTTGTTTGTTGGGAATGAGCTGTACGCCACATCCGATGGTATGGTGCATGAAGGGACCTGGAACGGGAAGAAATCGATAATCAAGGTTTCAAGAGGGGAAGAAGAACTGGCTGATCTCAAGGAAGAAGTCGACATATATCGAAGGTTGCAGCCTCTATGGGGTGTGACCGTTGCCGAACCTACCGGCCTATTTGAGGATGACATGGGATCGGGGTACCTGGTGCTGGCGTGGTGTGGAGAGTCTGTCTTGGAAGAACCCGGGCTTGTTTCAAAGTAGGAGTTCTCTACAACGACTCGAAGACTACTAACATCTTCTGCCAGAGAGTTCACTCAGGAGGTCAAAGAGACAGAACAGTCGTATTTCAAGCTGGGCGTTCGCAAAGAGGACTTGTGGCTGGATTCTATCCGGCGAGGCGCTGATGGCAAGCTCAAAATGATGGATTTTGAGAGCGCCTTGATGGATGATGAGAGCCTCTTGAAGGATGATGAGAATGGCAGCGATGAAGCGTTCAGGTGGTACTCCCTGCAACGATGGGAGCGCGTGGTCGGGCGAGCTACCAGGTGGGGGTGAGGAGGGACATGTTGAGCCTAGATTGACCTGTACCATGCGAACATCTTTCTACACCCGTTAAGTACACATGCCACACGTATGCCATCGGACGTCGCACAAGATAGTTGGTGGGCCTCAAGCATCTCCGGTCTTCTGCCTCTCGTCTATCAAACGAGCACCCGTTGCGCAGACCACATTCACCTTCCTGGCCTTCTGCGGTCCGTATTCTCTGCTTCGTCCTCCAATACTACCTTCTGCCCTGGCCCTCATCATCCTCTATTGGTGGAGCCGACGGTTGAGTCGAGCTCGTCACCTTTGCTTGTTGTTTGTCGCCGTTTATCGCGAAATCGTCACGAAAGTGCTTCATTAATGTTTGTCGTCAGGCAGGGAGGTCAGAGGCAGGGGTGTTTCATTAGGGTCCTGGGAGAACCGGACGTCTCAACTGACTCGCGGCCGTGGGGATGGCGGATATCGATATCGTTCAGGCGGCGTGCTTTCCGTCATCTACTTCGCTCTCTCCTTCGGAGTTTTCGCTTCCGGTGGATAACGCTTCTCTGTTTGTCCTAAGACGCCGCTGCGTTTCTTCTGTTTCCTCCTCACGCAAACCGTCCCTCAGGCGGGTCGCATCCAGCTCCGGGTCGGACTCCCTCTCGCCAACATTGAAGGTATCTCCGTCCACACCGTTTTCTGCTTCATCGCTGTCCTCGATCCACTCCTTACTCGTGGCTCCACTTCTCCTGTGACTGAGCAGCAAGCCGTCGCCTCCCTGTCTCTACCCGCGTCGCCAGAGCCGCGTCCACTCCCTCCGATCGCGTCCTAAATATCTCCCTCTGCTTCTCGGTCGGAAGCAATGTCGGACCATTCACCAATTCTTCGGAGTGCAGCTCTTCGAAGACGAGGGAAGGAGGAGGAGTTCGTAAATAGGTCATAGCTTCATGTGATCGTGGTTGGGGACTTGACGCAAGCGGTAGGAAAGGAGGCGGACGTTTTGCTTTTGTACATGGTGACATCTGCCGCATTCCTCGGTTCGTCTGTCTGCCAGTAGATAGGACGTTCTTCTCATCCACCAGTACCCCCAGCCTTTTCTCCACATCAGCCCACCAGCAATACGCCTCCGGTCTGTCCCCGGCCATAGTCACAGCGTCCCTCATATCCTCTGGTTTGATCCACTGTCCGAGATTCCATCCCTTGTCCTTGAACACCAGCGTGCGCTTACGCAGAATGATACGTTGTTCGGCCAAAACGATGATACGATGTACGGTTTGAATGACCCAATGAGGAAGTTGGCTTGACAGGAGAATCAGGAGGGAATGTTGAATGTGAGCATCGGGGAAAGGCTCAGAGGGCCAAAGAGCGTTGTAATACAACCTAGTTATAAGATGTTAACAAGCGCCCGTGGGCCAATATAGGAACACGCACGCCATGAGTTCTGCAAACCCCTTCGGTCTCAACAAGTCGAGATTTTTAACAAGTCCGCTTCGACGCCCCACCGTTCCACTCTCTCCATCCACTTGGCCCAGTCGTGCAATCCTCTCGTCCGCGGCCTTTTCCTGTCTGCATTCTCATCCTCCTCTTCCAGCACTATCCTCTGCCTAGGCCCTCTCGGCCCTTTCTTGATGGTAGCAATAGTCAAGTCGGATTCGACACCCTTCTTCGGGGCCTGACGTCGTCTCCGGCGAAATCGTGCGAGAAGCCATGTGGCGCTCCTCACGGGACAGAGAGTCCAAGTACGCCGCTGATGGCAGCTGATCCTCAACTAGATGGGAGTGTTCGGGACCAGCGTTATCGTCAACGTATCGGTTGAGGAGCGGTGGAGAGCGCGCAAAGCCGCGGGTTCGTATGTGATCTCAGCGAGAAGGCGGCGTCGTTTGGTGGTGCGTTGGTCGTCGTCGTCAGGTTGACGAGTTTGGTTCGGCGGGCAACGAGGACGTTTGCGTGTCGCTGGCCGTTGGCGGAGATGACTGATGTCGCCGGCTGGTTGCATGTTTCCCTCTACGCGCTGCGCAGACATACCCACCAGCTCTAGCTCCCTCTCGTCCCTCTTCCTCCTCTGCATCTCCTCATCAAGGTCCCGAAGATTTACAGCAGCCCATCGCTCCCAAATTTCCCACTCCTCGCCCACCTCCCGTGCCCAAGGCCCTTCTCCCCTCCTCCAATCCTCGGGAAGATGCTTGGCCCCTTCATCCAGTGCTGAGAGGTAGGCTGGAGGTGATGTGCAGGGTAACAGCTGATAGAGACCCGTTCGCCTATGAGGGACATCGGCATTTTGGATGCGGTGCCAGAAGTCTTGGCTAAGGCGGGTTCTTTGAGCAGCGGGCGCCTGTTTGTAGCGCTGATCATTCCGATAACGAAACCAATATTGTTGCTCCTCGAAAGGCTTCATCTCTGTTCACTGTCGACTCATCAGCGACCTCTGTACCTTTCCTCTCACACCAATGTGTCTTCCACAATCGGCGTGGACATGGTCGCTGACACCTTCTTTCACACGACTGGCAAAAAATGCTTGAAATGGTCTGAGAGCGTTCTGCAAGACCATCTGAGCGCTCTGCTCATGCGGATCATCCTCCCCTGTTCTCTTCTTAATCAAGATTTGAAATATGATGAAGCAGATTTATTGGTCGAGGAGGATGCAACGCTTTGACGCTTGTTGATGGAAGCTGTGGCAAATCGGAGCTTAAATCACCTGGCCAGGTACGGTTCGTATCTTCCTCTTTCGGACACCTACCCACGGCTCCCTCTTCGACCAGAGCCGATTCGAGCTCGGCCATCTCCTAGCGAGTCGGATTAGGGTCTATGGTTGCTAGGCAAACTGAATCGCATGAACGCCCAGCGCCGGGGTCTGCCATATTCCAAAACGGTGGCCATTGTCCGAAGAGCAAATCTGAAGCAGTGTATGAGACATCGGGTCGACTCCTTGCCTTTCATTTCAATGTTCTTCCGGAGGGCGCCGAGACGCGTATGTGGCCCAAGGTGTCGTTACGTATATCTCTGACATCTAAGTCCAGATGGCCCACATCCAATGCAAGATCGACGTGTCCGCGAGGAAACAAGAAAAGAACGATCCGGAGGGCTATAACATATGATACATGATTCTTCTCGATTCTCTGTTTATCGAGATGAAGACGGCTCTGGAATAGTATGAGACAACCGGAAGAGGCTCAGTGACTTCCCTAGCGAAGGTAGGAAAAGGTTGGCGTGCGTACTTCGAGCGAGTCAGAGGGGCCATGGACGAGGCGTGATGCCCTTTGCGCCGTGCCGTAGACGTACGCATCTTTGTGTGGATGTGTCGATCGATAAATGATAATCTTCCAGACGGCGGACGAAAGATACGCCAAAATCACAGCGTCGACCCCTCTGGTTGAGACCGAACGATCGCTAGGCGAGGCTCTGGTGGCGCTGATGCAGAAACTGGGAATCACCAGGGAGGACAGGAATGGGCCAGTTGCGGCTATTGCTGTCTTTCGACGAAGGAGGGACCCTTAGCAAGACTTATGCGGAACGAACTCATGAGATGCTCTACCAATTGCTCTGTTCCACGATCCAGCGAATGTCGTATTGGCCCATCTTTGGTGTCATGCTATCCATGATGAAGGATAGACATGAGCCACACCAGGCAGGAAGCGAGCTTAATGCTTTAAGGGAGTTGACAAAGCTGTTGGAACAGTACCTGTAATTATCCCTGCACACAACACGGGAACAGTCGGTGCGCAAGCTGTGACATTTCCTCCCATATTGGTATTGCTATTTCACAAGAATCGAACAGAAATGTAGATCAGAAAAGGAGGCTACTTTCGAGCACTATTTTTTCAACGTCAGAACTACGTTGTTGTAGATGTATATCGGTGAGGTATCGCGGAAAGATTTGTGGATTGACCGTGTTATCGGGACTGGCTGGAGCAAGCCGCCAAACGCCCTTGAAATAGGGCTTTGGCTCAAGCCAGATGTGCACCGTAGAACATATGACATTTCGGGTTGTGACTGTGTAGGCGTATCAGCCGATTTGGGAGGCAACGCAATGCACTGGTGCAGGACATACGGTTCACTATATCAATGGTCATGTGCGGGTCAGACCGAGCTGTCATTCCATTCATGACGGTAGTGCAATGATCGAAGTGACTGAAGCAGATGAATATTTGCTCCGGGCATAATGCAATTGTACGAAACCGAATAACGACCAGGTTGCAATTGTTCCTCCACGCTACGGTGCAGCCAAATAGCTCTACCAGATCCTCTCGAGCTTGGTTGCCTGGCTTGGTATACAACCAGCGGACCGTCATATTCCGAGACGGCTGTGGAATGAAGGGCTGTGCAACAGCATTGAGCACAGTGTTAAACATGTCGGGCGCTGCTACGGGTGGACAGGGTTGAGTGGATGCAAGACCGGGTGCTGCGTACTCCTGATATATACACGCCAGCAACGGCACCTGAGAAGCTTGTTTGCTGCTGACAGGCCAACAATACATAGTCACATTCATGTTTGAGCACAAGCAAATCATGATGTGCGGCGGATCACGGACTCAAACAAGAGTACAAAGGCTGGCACATTAAATAATATCAATGGCACCACCCTATCGGTTGGGGGTCTACGGATGGGCTGATATAGTGAACTAATAGGCAAACGTGGCTCTGCCGCCGTGCTTCTCAAGCCACGCACAAACCATGCCAATATCGGGCCGTTCATCTGGCGTACAGGTCAGCATCTTTGACAGGAGTGTTTTCCAAGTCTGCACGTCTTCCTCGGTAAGTCGAGTATGCAAGCGGGCCAATATCGGTAATCTATCCACAACCACAGAGGCCTTAGGCTCGTCCCTGGTGCCAACACACCGCAGGCGTCTCTCCAGCTCAGCCCAATTTGCAGTATACCTGGCCGCCTCTGCCGGCAAGATCTCTACTGGATAAGGTACTGCACTGTGGTTGATAAATCGTGATCGAAGAGAACTGGGAGGCGTGGCGAGGAGTATCTCCATCTGCCGCAAGACATCTTGCTCACTTGACAAGAATGGTTCGATAAGGGGTTGGCCACTGAGGATATTGAAGATCAACATAGCGAAGGACCATATGTCCGAGGCCAAGCTGAGTTGGCTTTCAAGCATCGCCTCGGGGGCCCGATAGTGAATCGGGACGGTGGGCTGCCTTTGAAGAGGGCCTTCGTCAAGCTGCACTGCATCTCCTACATCGATGCACACGATTGACTCCTTCAAGAACGATGCCATTGCGGGACCCGACATGTCTGCGGGTGCTACCACCTCGGCAGGTGCATGTGGCCCCGGTTCTGATCCATCCACCGTCATCACTGGCGCCACCTTCGGGCGTCCAAGGACGTAGTACACCTCCTCCTCGGTCCATGTTCGCACGGATTCGGACAGAGCGAATGCCCAGTTGGAGAGTGTGATGTCTAAGAGTGTGTCAGACTGATGTCGACGTCGATTGCGTTCACATACCATGAAGTGCAATTCTCATCCCGTGAAGCAGACGTAGAACTTCAGCCGCTTGCTGGGCCAGAACCGGTACTAGCTGAGCTCTCACTCGAAATGTCCCTTCCCTCCACCCACCACGACGTAACATTTGGTTGAGACTGGGACCCATCAGCGGCTGGACGAGGCAGGTGTGCTCCCCATTCGGGCTCATTTCGAGAAAGGTGGATAACGGGAGACGTAAATGCTGCAGCGCGGGCGTATCGGTTGGAAGGGATCCCAGTCGCTCGGCCATGAAGAGCTCGTTGTTCACGGTCTCTTGCCGCTCTGCCGCGAGGACTTTGACAGCAACCAATACCCCATCTTGGAGGTCACGCGCGAGCCACTGTGTGGATGAGCCGCCGCTGCCGAGCTTGTGGAGAACTTTGTAGCGGCCGTTGCATAGCGTTGACTGGAGGGCAATTGGGCAATAGCCTCCAACACGATATTTCTCTAGGTCCTCGACGCCGATCACGTCGGCCTCCCAGAATCGAGGTTTATAGTATGGATAACCCTTGTGCATGGGTGCTGTTGCAGAGGGTTGTTGTAGATTCGGACTCTGCAAAAATTGGGACATGATGTGAAGCGCAAGACATCCAACAATGTGAACCATCAGGGAATCAACGAGGATTAGCGTCCGTCAGCTAACGGAGATTGATTCCGAGGCTATTATAATGAGGCTAAAAGAAGTTAGCAGCACGTGATTCAAAGATGCGATAGATATCTCTGTTCACCGTCGACTCATCAGCGACCTCTGTACCTTTCCTCTCACACCAATGTGTCTTCCACAATCGGCGTGGACATGGTCGCTGACACCTTCTTTCACACGACTGGCAAAAAATGTTTAAAATCGTCTGAGAGCGTTCTGAAAGACCATCTGAGCGATCTGCCCATGCAGATCATCCTCCACTGTTCTTTTCTTAATCAAGATTTGAAATATGATGAAGCAGATTTATTGGTCGAGGAAGATGTAACGCTTTGACGCTTGTTGATGGAAGCTGTGGCAAATCGGAGCTTAAATCACCTGGCCAGGTACGGTTCGTATCTTCCTCTTTCGGACACCTACCCACGGCTCCCTCTTCGACCAGAGCCGATTCGAGCTCGGCCATCTCCTAGCGAGTCGGATCAGGGTATATGGTTGCTATGCAAACTGAATTACGTATATCTCTGACATCTAAGTCCAGATGGCCCATACCTAAGGCAAGATTGACGTGTCTGCGAGTACGTCTTGAAGACACCATGGAAACAGGAAAAGAACGATCTGGAGCGCTATGACGTACGATACATGATTCTTTTCGATTCTCTGTTTACCGAGATGAAGACAGTTCTGGAAGGGTATGATAGAGCCCGAAGAGGCTCGGTGACTTCCATAGAGGAGCTAGGAAAAGGTTGGCGTACGTACCTCGAGAAGTCAGAGGGGCCATGGACGAGATGTGATGCCCTCTGCCACCATACCGTAGACGTACGCACCTTTGTGTGGATGTGTCGATCGATAAATGATAATCTTCCAGGCGGCGGACGAAAAATCACAGCGTCGACCCCTCTGGTTGAGACCGAACGATCGCTAGGCGAGGCTCTGGTGGCGCTGATGCAGAAACTGGGAATCACCAGGGAGGACAGGAATGGGCCAGTTCGGCTATTGCTGTCTTTCGACGAAGGAGGGACCCTTAGCAAGACTTATGCGGGACGAACTCATGAGACGCTCTACCAATTGCTCTGTTGCACGATCCAGCGAATGTCCTATTGGCCCATCGTTGGTGTCATGCTGTCCACAAACCCAGAGCTGCTTTGGTTGGCGCCGGCGCGGCAGACGTACCCGTCAGATCGCATCTTCCCAGCATCAAACTTCCAGGTGCAACCAGCCGTCACCAAGTTTTGGTTCAACTGCTCTTAAACCAACTGTCTGGCACGTTCACAGGTCTTACGCTGGGTGGACTGATTTCGTCCACGCGGACATGATACCGTTGCTGTACCTGCGCGTGTTGAGGGGGGGGCAACAGCACGCGACCCACGTGTCATGTCGTATTCGCTTGGGCGTTGTTCATTGCCACAGTCATCACTAAAACGAAAGGCTTTATCTCTTCAACACCATCACTTCCTCAGTGCCTAGAGGAGTCGGACGGGACATCAACGCGGCGGGATATCCTGTACGATCGTACCGTGGATGTATGCTTCTGTGGATTTACCTGTCGCTTACTGACTCTCTAACACTCTGCAGGGCCACGCATTGATACAGCACCAGCCATTAACGATACCATTATCACATGTACACCCTGTAAGCTAATCGAGGGGCACTTGTTTTCCCACCCAATGAGCAGCAAGTGCTCCGGTAGCTTTGCGCAGAGCTTTAACCCGTCAATTTGACCAAATATATGAATTAATCCCGAGCTGTGGAGCGGCGGAACGAGAAGAACAGGGAAGTGGACCAGCAACCTTCTTTGCTGTGGAGCGGCGGAATGAGAAGAACAGGGAAGTGGACCAGCAACCTCCTTTGCTGTTCGCTCACAGTCCGACTCGCTAATCTCAGCTCATTTTCCAGATCATATCAGGATAATCGGTCCGATAATGTGAGGCAAGTAGCCGGGATCATCTAACGAGCGAGAGCCTGACCTGTGGGGAGCTGGGCAAATGATCTCAAAGTGCGCTCTCGTAACCGGTTGGATTATCCGTACTGACTGCAGCAGTTGTGCAGAACGCACCGTCTCAAAACTCCGTAAATTGGCTCTTTCACTAGCATGCAAAATAGTACCGGTCAAATTCTTCAGCGTTCAGAGTCTCCCACGTTACCCTCCTCCCGATCCTTACATAGATTTGTCGCAGTACGCACAAACCGAGGCGTCCTTGACGTTATCCTTGCCGCAGTGGGGGCAGACCGTCACGTTGTCGCCGATACCACGGTTGACCAGACGACCCTCGACATTCTCATCTGTCAAAGTCCTGCGAGTGAGTGGCAGTCTTCACCGGTTTTGGGGAAAGACGCGTACAGGTGGCGTACCTCGCGGCGTGCGCAGTCTGTCCGGACATACAGCATTGCATTGAAGGCTTTCGGAGGTTTGATGTCTATGTTGGTATTGAGTATGAGGCTACGGTTCTCGCTATTCTGTGAACTCACCAACAGAGACTGGGGAAGAGGGTGGTTGAGAGCAAGCGTCAGAGACAGACACGGCGCGGTATACAAGCGCTGTGCCAGCGTTCGGATCTTCACATCGGAAATCGCGTCAGAGACACATGACATACTATTTCCGTCGTCCCATGTGGGCCAGTATTCAGCATGACTCAGCTTAAAAGGGATATTTTGGCCCGGCAAGGTCTTATCGCACGTTGTGATATCCCATCCGTCCAGGCTCGTCGTCGTCTCGTGAAGGTTGAGGATAATCTTGGTGGGGATAAGAAAGAAGATGCAGTCGCTGAAGAAATACAGGTTGACGAGATACCTGGCACTTACGATAGCGAATGCCTCGTGCCAACGTTACACCGAGCATAACTGCCGCGGATCAATCTTGGCTCAGATCATTCCCCAGCCATGATAGCGGTTTCAGATCGATGATGATGGCTGTGCCCTCCTGATCCAGTATGACATTTGCTGGGTTAAGGTCTCTGTGCCAAATGCCGCAGTCGTGTAAGCTTCGAACGCCACGCAGGAGCTGCAGGACGATGTCGCAGGAAGATAACGGCAACTTGTCGTCCACTGCAGAGCCGAGGGGTCCTCAGATATCGCTTAGAGCATAATCCAACGAGTTTGTCGCCATTGCGAATACATTCAAGGTATTGAGCGATGTTTTGATGTCCCCCTGCCCGATGGATCCGTTCCCAGATCTGTGCCTCCCTGACGAGATCACGGCCAAGCTCTACCGGCTCTCCATCGCTGTCAAGAGCTCGCATGGCATACTGCATAGGCCGAAGTCTCTTGATGTAGGTGTCTTCTGGAGGCGGATGCGGGGCGGCTTGGAGGTCTTCGCATCAGTCGGCAGTGAGACAGTCCGGGGGGAGGACTGCGGCATTCTCTAGCACATCCGGACCAACTCCGATCGTCGAAGGTGGGTCCAACCGCACATCAGAGACTCGTCCTGCAGGCTCAAAGACGAGTATCGTGCCTTTAAACCCGCCATATTCCCAAAATGTCTCTCCGTAGTCGAGCACTCTGTTGCCGTTCGACTGGCAGTCCTTTGCTGGATCACCATTAGTTCAATCGTGGTAAGCAGGGTAGATGGCCGCACGGATTTGCAAACAGGAACTGTTCCCCATCATTTCCCAGGCCCAACGGAGCGCGTGGAATTGGAGCGGGCGAATAGCTGAATCTTGGGGAGAATCTTAAGTTATCGACAATGTCATGGTCCTTCTTTTCTAGTGATTTGACCATCGTCCAGTGTCTTCCTATCGTCGCCAGCGTGCAATGAAATGGACATTTCCAAATAACGCGCCAGTACGACACATAAGCGCCCGTCCTTATGGAATGTCGGAGCCGGAACAGCTCGCGAAAAGAGGTGGGACCCTCAGTGAGACCCACCGGGACCCACGTAGATTTTGACACCTCATATCTGCAGGTTATCATTGAGCACGGTCGGCCAGCATCATTGCAAAATAGCACATCTCGAAGCATTTCTTTCACAATCAATCCAGTCTTTTCCTAGCCATGGACAGGAAGGATACCCGCCCTCCTCACCGTGTCGACAGCCCCAATCGGCGATCTCCCCGGAAGTTGCCCAAGTTACTCTGTAGATTCGTGAGGGCAGTCGGCAACAAGGTCAAACTACTCAAGAGACGTCGGGCAGTCGATTGTGTATCCCAAGGCACCGCTCATGCAAATGGGCAGGTGATCGATTGCAGACCCAATGATGCCGTTGCCGACGTCCTTCACGGCGATCTTCTTCATGGAGATGCCCTAAATCACGGAGCGCTTCCAAGGCGATCGATTTCTGGCGCAGACGGCGATGATCCCTCGATGAACGCGTCGAGAGGTTCAGAAGCCGATAGATACGGTGAATTCATCCTTTCGGGCCAGTCCGCTGCGAAGATTGCAGAAGTGGAACCGGAGAATCGAGGCACAGAGCTTCGTACAATGTCACCTCCCATCTCCGGCTATCCTCTTTGGACGAAATGTGTTGGTGATTGGATGGTCCGGGCAACCACCCAAGGTACTGCTGAGCTGCTTGATCTTCGTCGTCATGGAGAGGATCAGGCGGCGATGGGAAAAACGACTGCCTTGTCCCACTTCGCTCCCAGCTGTACGTCTTGATCATGATCCTGTCACGAAGCAAGTGTTATCGTATGTTCAATTTCGACATGACGGCTACGAAGTTATGTCAACAAGGCAGCATTCTTTGGACACGCTTGCTCTTAATGGCGAATGGTCCATTCATGGCCGTAGAAAGGATGCATCGACATTCACGCGATCAACTGGAAGACACAGTGCTTTGTTAACCTGGCTTTCCTATCTGGAATGGTGAGTCGGCTTTTATACCAGTGTTCGTTGAAGCAATGATTTACATGAACAGACTAAGAAGTTTTTATCGGTCACATTCACTAAAGATCACCCGATCATTGTTACTCCGGCCGTACTCAAAATATTTCTGCTGTCCTCCTTATCTTCCACCTCGCTTCCTTTTCAGCAAAAAGGAATTCCTCTCGGCCCAGATTATTCGATCAAGTTCACACAATCAGGAGAATCGCACAAAGCATGGCGGATATGCGTAAAGGCACTCCCAGCTGGAACTGATCTCGCTCTGGTCACCCTTCGCAACGTCCATGGCATTTACGCATATCGGCTCACCGAGCTGCCTCTCCACGAACGGATGCTTGATCTGCAATTGGTCTGGGGAGAAATTGTCAATGAGACGGTCTATGTTGGTCCCATGACAATTGATGGGGATACAGAAGAAGTCATCTGGTTTCAACATGATGGCTCGGCAGTTTCAAGCGGGTGCGACCACGCCCGTTCAGTGATAATGTCCAGGAAGATTCCTGAGACCGGATCAGCCGCCTGCGGTCCTGCTCGCATCCTCTATACCTCAGAAGAGGGTAGCGATCTCTTGCATGTGGATTGGATGTTTCGACATGTGGGCGCAATATATGTTAGGCAGTCGTATTCGCGACTGTCTCAAGGTATCTTACTTGCGGTAGGATGGATTTCCCCTCTCCGACTTGTTTAGCTACTAAACTTGACTGCACAGGACACAGGCAATAGGCCACGCGCCAGAAACGTATCACTCAAGCGGACAGACAGCATCGGCCTTTATCACTCGAAAGGACCACCCTCACAGAATTCAGCCAGCTCAGCCCAGCTCCGCCAACTCACGCGGAAGGCAGGGCCATTAATCTTAGAGCCGCCATCATCAGCATACGCACCGCCTTGCTCCTCCGCTGCACATCGTGGCGTCGCATTGATTGATGCGCCACTTATATCATGCACTGTTTCTGAGGGCCAAAAGTCAGATTTCCATTCGCAGTTTCAAGAAAAACTACCACATCCCAGGCCTGAATGTGCAGAAACTGTTAGGAGCAGCGAAGATTCCAGCGCGGACTCCAAAGACCGCGGCAACGAACTCAGACTGTCAAGCGCTGCCACCTCGCTTCGTGACAGAGACGTACTGGAGTTAGATGACAAAGATCTTTCAGCAGGGGATATCGTCAGTGTCATTGTGCGTGTCAAGTTAGTCCTGCATTTACTCTCTGACTCATAAGGAAAGGAATGGGCCGTTCACATGCGTCAATTCCCGTCTCCAAGCTTACTTCACCCTTCCCTACATTGGACCGCAATAGCTCAAGAACAGTTGCCTGAAGGGTTTGATCTGGATGTCGACGATGTCCAAGAGTAGTTTGAAGCAGACAGGCGTCTTCTTAACATGGTTGTTCGAGGACTTGGTCTCTGGGGAAACATCGTGGTCCTTGCCTACAATCCTAACGGCCATCAACTGCTTCTTCGAATCCCGGAAGATGGGTACGACACTCTATACCGCCTTCAGGACCGACGCAGCATGGCCAGAAGACCATCGGAGGAGTGGAACGTCCTCTCATACTACGTCGAAGAGGGTGCCAAGGTTACTGCACCTATGCTTGATGCATCTGAACCATGTTGCCGGGTCAATACTGACTTCATGTCTGCGGATGCTGCACGGCTAGCTGATTGTGATTCCGTATATGGAGTCGACATGAAGGCGAAGCAATCGGCTCTTGGACGACTTGGCTTCCCCAACTTGGCAACATAACCTAGTCGAGGGAAACATTACCAGGGATTTCAATATGTTAATTACGTATGGACAGTCCTCCGACCCTAATACACTCCTTTGTCGCCCGCCGATCAATCTTTCCGCCTCGGCTTCTGCACCGTCGCCAGAATATTTTCATTTCTATGCAATACATCTTGCGACTGTTCGACAGTTGTAGGTGCTTCTTCCATTTCGTGCTGCACCATCGACGCCACCGCCTTTCCCTTTTCTGCATCTGGTTCGGGCACATACCTACATGTCAACGACGGATGTCTACCAGGTCAAGAAAGAATGCCTGGAGTCAGGATATCTCCGTGCTGATCAATCCAGAATCAGCCTGGACTGCAAGCACCTGTACAGTGAACTTGCTGCTGAGAGAGATCGCCAGATACTGATCAACCACACTCATAGATTAATGGAAGATAATTGTTCTCCTTATACAATGAGACAAGCATGGAAACGCTTAGGATTAGCGCCTGTTACAAGCCTTTCTGCCTCAAGAATTTGAGATTCGCTCCACGGGACGTGCTGAGGGCATTCGCGTGAAGGAGTTTCTGGAGCTGACAGGGGATTGTTCTGCAGGTTGCGAGTGCTACAAGGTTGGGGTTATGATCATGTGGTGTGGTGATCATGCTTACTCGTCGTGTTTCTTCACCTGGTTAATTTTGTTTGCCAGAAGCGCAGGACCATCACACGTTCATAGAGGAATGAATTGTTAACAAACAGGACGTGCTTTACACGATATCTTGATAGAGGGACTACCATTGCTGAAGTTCGGCTAACAGGGTCAACCACGAGTTTCTCGCGTCCACAATGAGGCTGTCAATCGTTACGGGAAGGTCGGCGATAATCTGCAGTAATCCGGCAAAGTCGTTCGTCTCCTGCGTGAGACTGGCCCAGGATGTCGTTACGCTGACAATTGTGTTCACGTAGCTGTCTTCTGTAGCGCGCACAGCTTCCATCTGTCGCTTCGCTTGTTCGTACTGACCAATATTCCGCTCAAGGCTGTTGATGTCGCTCTCAGTGTGAGTAATCTCTTCGATGAGCGCTTTGATCAGTTGGCCAATGCTAGGCGGAAGGGGCCACCACTGTGATTCGCATAAGTAGGCAGAACGCAACTGGAGATGAACTATGTCAGTCCGTACCTTTACCCAATCATACTTGGCCAACTCATTCTTCTTCTCGTGCAGCGTTCGCCGGCTTTGATCGATTTCCGCTTGAATCTCGTTAGATTTACTGACCAACTATATTCGCATTAGTACTGTATCCTCACTCCCCCTTCAGAGAGGAGGAACCGTGCCTTATTATAAGTTAACACACTGTTGTTCTTCACCGTGAGCACCTCCGTCTGGGCAGCCAAGGCTTTCTCATTCCCCCTTTTGGCTTCTTCGGCTCGCTCGTGTTGTAAACGTTCGAGACTATCTTTGGTCGCGCTGCCAGACAAGGCATTGATCTGCTGCATCGTGAATTCCATGCAGAATGCGATTGCGTCCTGGAGTTTCGGGAGGATGATGTTAGTGATATTCGCAGACAGATTCCTTGCGTCAACTGCTCCTGCGGGGTAAAAGCCGCTAAGAAGGGTTATATAAGCATTTAACACTTTGTTGATGTTGGCGGAAAGAACCTACTCCATCATTCTTGAAGTAGCCTGGTACTGGTCTGCCGTGTTGGAGAGCGTTTGGCGTTTGCAGGTGAGAGAAACACGCGGGGCCCGAAGCGCGTTCAGTAGCTGCTCATCCGTCGAGGCACTCATCAAGGCCATCGTCGTCGAGAGCCTTGTCGCATCAGAGTCCGGATAGAAGAGTAGTGCCATTTGAGGATCATTCAAGATCTCATCGAAGGCAGGTGGATATGGTTCGGGTGTGGCAAACTTCAACTCTCCAGCGACAGAGATGTCACGTGCAACGCGTTTCTGGGACAGTTCCAAGACAATCTTCGATGGTGGGGAGACGGTTAAAGCGAATGCGGCAATCGACCGGGGTGAAAGGCATCCGGTAAGACGAGTCACATATTCTTCCAAACTCTCTTCATAGCGCAACCATTCACGGGCAACAGACGTCAGCAGCTCGGGTGTCAAGACATTCGATTTTTTCCTGCACGCTTTCAGTTTCCAGCGCCTTTGGCTCAATGCACATCAGTACCCACCAAGAGGCGTACTGTTCAAGCGACGTCCTGACCCCCTCTTCGATGCTCGTCCAGGTAGAGCACAGCATTGCAAACCGGTCCCCGACAGACTGCAGCTGCACGAGCACCTGTGGCATGACATCCGCAGTGTTCTGTGCCTGGTGAAGTATATTTTCAAGCCTTTTCAGAAGTCTACGGTAAGGAGTCAGCATGAGTTCTGAGACAAAGCATAGTCGGTCAGGCCGTGCTTGCGCGTACAACTGGGAAGACTGGGTGCCCGAATCAACTGTGAACAGCAGATCTCTCCTCCATTCCGGAGCAAGAAGTGCGCCAAGAGGGCCGGTGCCATCATTAATCGCAATGACCGCGCGCGCAGTGAATACAGACTGCATGATGTTATCGATAACGATATCAAGGTCAATTTTGCCCATATGGGAGCCCTGTTTCAGGATCATCTCATATTTGGGCAATAGCGCCGTCGTTTACGTTCGTTCTCAGTGATATTCGACTGCAAACCTGCAGGCCGTGCATACCTGGGTGAGATTCTCTTTCAACACTGTCACTATATTGGATAACCCGGACACAAGGCTTTGGATCTCGGCTACGATTGAATCCAGTTCTGGGAGATTCGACTGTTGATTCTCTCAGCTCAAAACATGGGACGGGAGTCCGTTTCAAGGTGACGCACCCCGAGGAAAATCAAGCTCCCCTTCAATATTTTGGCCCGCTCCGTGTCAGCAGCGGCCACAAAGGCTGGGATGAACATCTGTTCCAGACCCCATTCAGCCGTGCACCTTCTCAAGGACAGCGAAGGGGATTTAACGTGCCCTTTCGCAATACCCGTACGTAGACAGGTTGGTGACTACGGCAATCGTCCGTTCCTTCAGGTGAGCAAAGGCTCTGCTGTTCTTCATGATGATCGCGCTCAATGAGGTACTGCTGCCTTCGCTGGTCGGATCAGTGACTTTGAGTTCTCTAAAAGCAGGATATTAAGGCAAGGATGATGTGCTAGAGGCTTTAGCTGACCTTACGAAAGGGAGACGGGTTGTGTCTTCCAACAAGCGCGTGGTGTCGTTTACGTACGCCAAGAGCTCGATCATGGCCTGGGGTGCCTCGGGACGTGGAGCGAGCGCATCTCTGACATCCTGCGCTGTGTTTGCTTTATTTTCGTCCCTCGTCAGAAGGCGCAAGGAGGCATGTTTGGTCGGCTCCCTAGCATGACGTAGGGGAATTAGCTTCGGATTGGACAGCGGAGCAGATGTAACAGAAGCCGAAAGGATGGCATTGACATTGTGAACGGGAAGAACATTACACGAATCATTTCAAGAAAGTTCGGCAGCTCACCTTGAAGTGGTTACCTCTTTGACGAATGCGGTGGCATCGGTCCTGGCCGCCGTCCACGCCGCTGCAGCATTCTTGGCGTCAATATTCTCGCCCATCCCACCTCCTTCAGCAAATGTCTCAATACCGGTGGGGATAGCTTTTGCGCCCGCCTCCACCTGCGTAAGGTGACTCACGACTGGGGGGACGTCCCGGATGACGGTTTCGAGGTCACGGAAGTACTGCTTCAAGCGGGTAGCGATGGTCTTCTCAATGGCACTTGCAACGTCCTCTGGCCTCAAGAGCGGCTCAGTGTGAGGCGGCAGCAGGGAGGCGGTGAAGGCGTCTGCCAACGGCTTGGTGATGCCGCGGAAGCTGAGGTGGAGGATATCAGCGAGCTGCGCCTGCGAAGTCGTGTCCGGGGTGAATGAAGCGAACGACGCCAGAGGCGAGGCGACAAGGTCAAACAGGGTACTCTTGAAGAAGGGGTCAGTGGAGCCTGCCTTCCACTCCCGGATGTGAATGGACAAGTCAGACAACTCGGTGAGGACGTCCTTCAGTACAGTCGGATCGAACGCGAGAAGATCATTCACTTTCTGCAGGGAATAGGTTAGGGAATTGCGCGAGTGGTGGCCAGAGAGAGGGGACGAACGGATCGTGCAGCATTCAGCGCTGACACGTCGATAGAGTGCCAACCCGAGACGAAGGACTTGAGGGGTGTGACGAGGGTTGCCCGATCCTTGACGCTGAGGGCGAGAGGTCCAAACGCTTGGCCATATGTTGTCAGATCCTGACACAGTGCGACGGCTGCTACCCCGATGGAGTTGATAGACTGCCGAACGGCGAACACGTCCGCTGGGGCGCAGTTCAGTGAAGTGTGTAGTGACGATAGTATGAATGTGGGTACACACGTTGGTAACCAGATACACCAGTGAATAGAGGCATGAGAATATCTCCTTGGGCCTTGTTGACGGCTTTCATAGACTCGGTGGAGCCTTGGAGATGCTGGCTGAGGTCGCCAGGCATTAGCGCTGAGAAGTCAAACTCGGTTGGAGATGACATGGTAGTGAGTAGAGCCGATATAAGGTTCAAGAGTATAGCTTGAAGGAGCATGCGTTATAGAAAGTGGGAGATATAAGAGCATTTTGAACAGAGAGCTTGGGTTGTGTTCAACAGAGTAAGAGGATGGGATTAGGTGCGAAACGAGTCCCATGCAAACCGAGGGGCGACAACAAGTGTGCTCTGTGCCTGTGCCCTTGCGCGCCTCGGAGGCAATCTGCCTCATAATTTTCTTAAATGGTAAGCAACCTTCGGATTGCACAAGTAATGTGTGCAACTTTTAATGTACGCACAAAATTATTATTATCAAATGAGACTCTTGTGTGTGGAATTCACTAAGATCTAGTACACATTTCAACAAAAATAGAGAGCCAATTAATAACCATTTGGGGCCAAAAAATCGATTTACCGGGAAAGTGTTGTGGGAGAGCGCACCGCACCCTCAGTGCCTTCGGCGGACCACACAAAATGGTGAGGAGGAAATTTTATTCAATTTTCAACCAATTATTATTAAATAACTATGCATTTTTTTGGTAAAATAAATATAACTTTATTGGGGAATTTTACACACACAATTTTGGTTTGATAATAATAATTTTTTGTACATTAAAAGTTGCACGCATTACTTGTGCAATCCGAAGGTTGCTTACCATTTAAGGAAATTATGAGGCAAATTGTCTCCGAGGCGCGCAAGGGCACAGGCACAGAGCACACTTCTCGTGTATATTCATAGATATCCGCGGCCACATGAAGGGTTCCACCTGTCTCTCAATCAAATCCTCGAGTGCTTCTCAACGGTCATGCTGCTATCGTAGATAGCACCATGACCGGCACCCAAATCTCACCGGTCCATGTTGTACAATTCCGGTCGTACCGTCAACGACCGCAAGCACTACACACAAGCTAGCATCGCCAGCAACATACGTCGTGGGGCCCGACGCAAAGCGAGTTCGGACATGTAAGCACCATTCCTGGTCAAAGATGGTCCATTCCTCCGTGTTTTTCCTTCTTTTATCCGAAGAACAGCCCGGGTCTTGCTTCATTTCTTCAATTCTATAACCCAGCAGTGACCGTACACCATCACTTTAGTACAGCCGATGTAATGGCGTTTATCCCGTAGAACTGGTTGATAAAATGCAGTGAATCTAGTGTACAAGCCATATCACGCACCGTCCCCCTTGCTTCACCCGGTCAAACTCCCATCCCACCCCAGCCTCGTCCCACCCCTCGCCCCATGCCCTCACTCAACAACACAATCTCCCGCATCTCCAGATCCTCCCTCGTCATCCGTTCTGCTTTACCGGAGAGCTCCCACAGGTCTTGGGAGGTGTCGAGCAGGGACAGCGTGAGGGTGAGGAGGGCGAGGAGCTCGCTCGCTGTAGGGCGGGAGGGCGTATGGGGCGTATGAGGGGTGTGAGGGGTGGAGGGAGAAGAGGGCAGAGATCCTGAGTTCGGCCGGTTGGGCGTGTGTGGGGAATGCGGAGAATAGGGAGGAGGCTTCCCTTCTCCCCCTGCCTGGCGCATCTCAGCCTCCATCGCCTCCAGCTCCGCATGCCGCTTGTCCGACTCCGGCAGCGCAGCCCTTGTCTTCCGGGGGGGCGTCACAGGCGGAGTGATCGTCGTTTGCAATGCATCAGGTGGAGTGGGGGGAGAAGGGGACGCCGAGCCCGAAGTAGGCGAAATAGGTGACATCAACGATTCCTGGCCTTCTTGTCGCTCTTGTCCCAGTTCGGGTTCCAGTTCGGGGCTTTCCCAGCCTGTGAGCACACTCAGAGGATGTGGCTCCCTTTCCCTCCCTCTCTCCTTCCCATTCTGAGTCTCGTGCCCTTCCCCACGTACCCTCTCCGGGACCCTCAGTCTCCTCCCCACCTCGCGCGTCACCCGCCCCTCCCTCTGCTCCGCCTCCATCTCCCATCTTTCCAGCCACGGTCTGCCTACCCGGAGGGGCGAAGGTGCGCGGGGCAGGTGGGGTATATACGCGAAGTAGGAGTTGAGCGAGCGAGGTGGAGGGGGGGAGAGATGTTCCTGTTCTTTTTCATGGTCTGGCGGGAGTGCAGAGGGCGCGGAAGCGGCTGAAGTGGTGGAGTCAGTCGAATTAGCCGTAGTCGACGTGGAGGCCGAAGAAGAAAGGGAAGAAGGAGCGGCTCCAAGCTCCGGTTCGCGCAGGGCGTACCAGCCCATACTCGCCGGTGCACTCCCACTCCCTCCCGTGCTCCCAGCAGTCTCTGCAGAGCCCCCGGTCGCCGAAATCGGCACCGAAGCGGAGGATAACCCCGACGTGAAACTCGAGACGCTCCCACTTCTCCTCCTTTCCCAATCTGGGGATGAAGGTTCCGAGTCGCACTCGTCTGCTTCTGGGATAGAATTCAGAGAGGAGGGTGTGGAGGTTCCTGACTGGAGGTCGGACAGTCGGGGGTGGGGATGGGGATGATGGTGCGTGTGGGGATGGTGATGATCTCTCGGTGAAGGGGAAGGAGAACCTGGACCTGGTGTAGGGGAGGGTGACGATGTGCCTGAGGAAGTTCCTGAGCCTGGGGGAGAGGGATGATGGAGATGGAGTTGTGGGGGCGGGAATTCGAGCAGCCTGCGTTCTACCAATTCCGGATAAGACGCACAGGACGCCTGGTATCTCTTAATCTCCCTGTACAGGCGTAGAGGGCCTTCCGTGTCCGCTGCTGTGTGGAGGAAGAGGCTGAGAGGAGGAACGCAAGGAAGGACGACGCGTGCGCTGTACTCTTGTATGGATGTGCGCGGTGGGAGAGCCTGACGGAGGTGCATAAGGAGGGCAAGATGCTTTGACGATACGAGTGCCCAAGTGTGCATTAACCTGCAGAGTTGAGGCGAGTTGAGTGCGGAGAGTAGGATGGACATGCTACTGTGATTTGAGAGAGTGCGGCATTCCTGCCCACGAAATGGAGTGAACGACAGTGACAAGTTATTGTTATGGACACACCTCTGCACATTCTATGAGCCTCTCGATTGCACGAGCACGCCCTCTTCTCCCTTTCCCCTTCAACACCTCCAGCTGTGCCCATACCTCCAATCGACGAGAAGTGTCTACCCATTCGTCGAGCGTGTTCGCGTGCACCTCCTCCGTTGGCTGTGCTATGCCTTGCCACTCTGCCTTGAGGGCGCGCAGCTGAGAGAGATGCGCAAGGATGTCCTTTACGTCTACCTGAGCGAATAGATGTGAAGATAGAATGGTAAGAGCGAGTGCTAGATGAGGAGGGGGGAGAGCGGCGAGGGGAGTGTCGGGCGGTAGCATAGAGAACAAGAGAGGTGCGAGTAGAAGGGATTGAACATTTTCAAGTGAATATAGTCAGCCTCACACGCCCCCTTGGTGTTGATGGAATACTTCGGCGGTGCGGCCCACATCGGCAAACAGACAAGGGGAAATAAGGTCACAAGACAGTTATTAAATGAAAATGACGTCGATTCACAGCTTCACTCATAACAAGCACTTTACTGACACAATACTTGCAACTCCAAAAGTAAAGGATCACCTTATCTCCCCTATCAATAAAGGCACAGCAAGCGGAATGGATCGGACAGAGCAACAGAGCAAATATTACGGGTACACTCGGATTCACATAACGGATCAACCACACTTCGGATCAACGGCTCCGCCTTTCACCTCTAATTTCAATCTTGTACGGCATGATTAGGTCCAGGTGGCAAATCAAGCCCAAAGCTAACAAAGAAAGCGTTCAGCTCTGCACCTCCCTTGACCCACATCGAATCCACCTCCAGCCCCTTCGCCTGCGCATCCGCCTCCAGCCGCGCAATCTCCACCTCACGCTTCGCTTCCCGCTGCCGGAAGTTACGGGCTCGGTATTTCAGTCGCGGAGAGTTGGGATCTCGGTATTCTGCTTCGGGGATACGTTCGCGTCCCAGGCGGGAGAGGATTACCTGCTCGATAAGAGAGTAGTCTGACGGGTCCGCGCGATCAAGGTTGAACGGCTCTTTCAGCGTCACATGGGGGTTCGTGATGATCTACAAGTGATCCGTTAGGTCACCCTTGTGGGAAGCGTACAAATCACTCACCCGAGGCGTGCGCAGGTGATTGGGCCCATTCGTGTGCGGCTGTATCCTTTCAGCAACCGGGCAATTCGGCAATACACGACACCTACAAGGTAGGAATGCATAATAAACGTGTCCCCAGCTTTACCCGACACAGAAGTAAACTCCTTGCAGTCTTTGATATGCGCCATCGTCAGCTGCGTAAACGGCGAGTCAAGCCCCTGCTTATTGTCATAGAGCACTTTGAGGACGCCGGCGATGCTGCCGGCTTGCATCAGAGATCGCATGACTTTGGTGAGCAATCAACTCACCCGTCTTCGCACAGGCACGTCCCCCCTCCGCGCGGCGGGATATCGGTAAACAAGTGGACGACGACGAGCGCGTTCTCACTCGAGTCGAGGAATTGGCGATACCAATCATTGTCCGTGTGCCTGCTCCACGGTTAGCCGTGACCATCCTGCGTTACGGGGCCCCAGGCATACCATCCCTTCGCATTCTGGGGCACGGAGTCGTTCTACCCATGTCGCGTGAGATGACTACTCAGCTTCCCGGACGAACAACATACGTTCTCCCAGTATTCCGATCCATTATTGATGATAAACTGGTCACCGTGCATGTTCCTCAGAGGGTCGATCCGATCCATCCCTCCGCACAGGTCGATGCATGCCTTGTACGCATCCGGCGCAAACTCAGAGAAGTGCGCCTAGGGAGCGTGCTGCTGCTGAGTACGCTCATCAGGTGTGTAGTTGACCCGTCCTACCTGCTTATGACGGATGACTTTGACGTATTCCCCGTCGGCAGCTTCCCAGCTCCTGGGTCCTTTGCTCTCGTCCCAGCCTGTACGGACCCACTGATACAAGACATTAATTCTCTTGGAGGAAACACACAAAATGGCTCACCAAGCTCTTCACCCAGTCGTCAATGTACTTCTTGTTTATCGCGTTGGGGATCTTGATCCAACCATGCTTTAGGAAGAACTCCTGCTCCCCAGGAGTCAGGAACTTGTACTCGACAGGCATACTGAACAAGTAGTCGCTTAATTGGCTTGACCGATACCTGTCCAAGGCAAGTCGGGCGGTATCCTAGTATTCGACGGTGTGTATATCTGACTTGCCGCCCTCCACCCGCCGTGCGAAGCTGGAGGGGCGACGCCTTCCGAGCGCCGATTCCTATTCAAATGTCCACCGGAAGTTGGTCCGCCAAGTTACTCCGAGGACCTCGTAGACCCGACCCGGCCTGGCGCGTTCTCGGTTGCACTCCCATCCTCGGGATGACATCCACCATTCTGCCGCGTCCGGTGTTGGCAAGTGGAGAACATAGATGAGCCCTCTTAATCTGGTTGATGGCGCCAAGGTCAAGTGATCGTTTGTTCATACTGTACAACGGTCCGGCGCTCCCTCGGCAGGCAGTTCGGATGTCCGATAAGCTAGTACTTTACGAAATTTTCATGTGAATGCGGGAGTTGCCTTAATGCCGTCAGCTTCCGTCTTCTCACCGTGGTCTTCGGAAAAATGAGACTGCGCACCCTGGCGTACCTAATATGTAATTATAATGCGCCCTTCGCGTCTCACTCGTTTGTTAGAACCACCATCTAAACTTGTACCCCTGCTCTTCCAACCAAGTCAGATAGTTGTTGGAGACGGTGCTTCTCCGCGACAACATCGAGTTCGATCTGGCACAGTGGAGGTATCCCGATATGAAAGGGCTGAAAGTTTAACTGACAGGCCCTGGCTCCTGAAATAGACTTAGACTGGTCTTCTTTGAAATAGGCTGTTCAATTTTCACGCGACACGCGAGAGAAGCAACGAACACGCATGCTATCACACCAGAAGACCACATCGAATTCATTGCTCCACAGCGTCGGCCACTTTCCTCCACCTCCACTCCGACGCCTCCGCCTGAACAGCTTGAACGCGTGAGCAGTTTGAGGCCTGTTTTTTGCTGTCTTCACGGAGGATTTGGCTTGATTGCGAAGTCAGTCAAAGAGCATCCTCGCCACCTCGTTGTTCACATGGGACGGACTTTTCTTCCACTTCAATTCATACTTTCCTTCTGCGATGCAACAACCCAAACCCACAGGCTCAACGGGATGGAGGTCGACAAATTTCATCCCCCGCATTCAATAAGAGGCGTATTGCATCCTCGCAGTGCCTGGCTTCTGTCGACTTCATTCCTCTGGTCGCCTCAAACTCAGGTCTTGCGCTGATACTCGAGGTATCGACAAGATCATCATGTCCACGCTACCAAATACCGATTCAAAGTCTCTCGCCGAGGTGGAACACATTGAAGAGCAGCATGGAGTCTCATGGGAGCAGATCAAGGAGGAGGCTCACCGCGCCATCGAGGCAGAACAGAACATGACTCCTCTGGAGGCGCTCAGGAAATACCCCATGGCCGTTTTCTGGTCATGGGTGATCTCACTGGCTGTCCTCATGGAAGGTATGGCTAACGCGTTCCGGTGTCGGTCGTATCTAATAACATCGCACAGGTTTCGACACGAATTTGTTGGGTTCGCTGTTTGCTCTTCCTGCTTTCCAGCAAGCGGTTCGTTCTCCTTCTATTCCTCTCCGCTCCAGCTTTGATACATTCCGCAGTATGGTAGTTACTCGGACGTCAGCAAGTCCTACACCCTCTCTGCACCTTGGCAATCTGGCATCTCCCAAGCGTCCACGTGCGGCACATTCATCGGTATCATCCTCAATGGATACTTGATTGACCGCTTCGGGTACAAAAGGACCCTTTTGGTCATGCTCGTCTTCATCACCGGCTTCATCGCTATTCCAACCTTTGCACCAAACCCTGCCACGCTTGTCGTAGGCGAGTTCTTATGTGGCATACCTTGGGGAGTGTTCTGCACCCTCGCTCCCGCCTATGCATCCGAGGTCGCCCCCGTCCAGCTTCGTGGATACCTGACGACGTATGTTAACCTCTGCTTCGTCATTGGCCATTTTCTCGCTCTTGGTGTGCTCAACGGTGTCGAGACCTGGACGAGCCAATGGGCGTATCGCGTCCCCTTCTGTTTGCAGTGGATGTGGCCGGTCCCGATCTTTATTACTGTTTGCTTTGCTCCGGAATCTCCATGGTGGCTTGTCCGCAAGGGTCGTCTCGCTGAGGCGGAGACTATGATTAAACGCTTGAGCAAGAATAGCCCCATCAATCCGAGAGACGCAGTCGCCATGATGGTCAGGACGAACCAGCTTGAAATTGACCAGACTGAGGGCACTCGCTTCATTGACTGCCTCAAGGGCCCAGATCTGTACGTCGAGTAATTTTTGTTTGTGATTTTCTGATGAGATGTGAAGGCGTCGCACGGAGGTCTCCTGTGTTGCTTGGGCCATACAAATCTTTTGCGGCCTACCCTTCCTTTCTTGGGACACATACTTCTTCGAACAAGGCAAGTTCTCGCTTATTCGCTCCCTGTGTGGCATCTAACCCTGTTAACCCAGCCGGCCTGGCCTCGAGTAATGCATTTAAAGTCAGTCTCGCGGTTGAGGGTCTGTCGTTCATCGGCGTCTTCCTCTCTTGGGTCTTCCTCACCTGGCTCGGTCGTCGGACAATCTACCTTGGGGGACAACTAGCCATGGTCATCTTGATGCTTCTTGTTGGCTTCCTACAAATCGCGTCAAATAAGGGCAGCAAGGACTCTAACTGGGGTCAGGGTGCCATGCTCATGCTCTGGTGCGTTGTATACAACGGCACGATCGGCCCTCTTGCTTTCTGTAGCCTGACGTCTCCTTTTCTTCCCGAGGCTTGGCTGACAAACAGAATCAGGCATTGCAGCCGAAACGTCCTCAACTCGTTTGAGAGGCAAGACAATTGCCTTGGCCCGTAACACATACAACATTGTTAGCATCGTCTTCGGTATCGTCACGCCCTATATGTTTGTCTTTATTCACGTCCTGTTACCCCTTCCACCCTGACCTCACTCCAAACTAGGTTGAACCCCAATGAGGGTAACTGGAAAGGATTCACCGGCTTCTGGTGGGCCGGTATTGGCTTCATCTTCGCTGTGTGGTCGTACTACCGTCTTCCTGAATGCAAGGGAAGGACATACTGGGAACTCGACATTTTATTCGAGCGCAAGGTCCCGGCCAGGGAGTTCAAGGCTGCTGTCGTCTCCAATGATGCCGACGAGCAACTGCACGGTGCACACAACAATGTGGTAACCATGTTGGGCGAGGATGATGAGAAGGTTGTATGAGCAGGTTTCTCTGGACGCACATTACAGGACAAGCCAGGCTTTCAACGTATTTGGGCTCACAGAAACGGTGGGATTCACATATACGACCATGGTTTTAGTCACGGTACATACGAAGTTCACATCTCAATTGAGTTCCTTCAATGTCACCTTGGTTTCCAAATATGAAGTGTGCGTGGGACGACCCCACTAACCTCGATAACTATTTCTATCGCAGACCTCGCGGTTGCTTTGCACGAGCAATTTGATCCTCTGTATCATTTTCACGCTAACGAGAACACTGTTGATGGTTGCCTGGACCTATTGTTAATGTTCCAACTGAAAGTCACAAGTCGGCTGCAGGATTCTGTTCAGCCCCTGCTCGAGGTGGACCACAAAGCCACATTCACATTCGCTTCACCAAACATTTCAATTAGAACATCTTCATATTGATGTGCCTTCCATTGTGCCTAACCGCCGCGCGTCGCACTAGTGCCCATTTGCGTACCTCGTAGCGGTGCGCAAGGAGAGAAACGACATATCTTGAGCGCGACCGGGGGCTGTAGACCGGACGAGGAGAGATAGACCGGGCGGCGAGGGGGGGGG